ATAATATAAATTATCTATAAATTATGAGTTAAAATATGTAAACTCTAATTTATTTTTTACGAATCAAGTTAACATCAAGTTAATGAACAGGTGAATTTTTATCGAATATATGTCAAACCCAACAAACTAATTTAAAAAAGGATTTTTATAACTAGGCACCTTTGCTGCAGCTTTCTTTCTCTTGCCTCGTTGACTGAGTAGCTTTATTTTTTTTTTAAAACAAATTTAAGCATGTTTGGTGCAGATCGTGAAAAGAGCTTTTTGACTCTAAAAATACAAGCTGCACCAAATACCACAGCTTCTTAAACGTGCTTCAACTTTCCAAAAGCTCAGCTTCTCCCCACTCCTTTGCAAATTTCGGAAGCATTAATTTGGTGCTTCCATGGGAGCTTCCGGCTTTTGAATTAATGAAATTGACATGATATCTCTATTTTATCATTGCACTTCTTTTTATTTACAAAAAAAACCACTATATAATGTTTCAAAACACCACATTTTTGCCCCATTCTTCACTATCTTCTTCCTCATCCAATTCAATAAGAGAAACAAACAAAAATTCTTCCTGAAACAGAAAATTCTTCCTCATCCAATCAGAGAAACAAACAGAAAATTCTTACCGAAAATCCCTCATCTACGAATTTAGGAGTTGAATTCGCAGCGAACCTTGCGCTTGTGTTCCAAGATGAACCCAACGCCTGGGTTCGCAACGAATCTCACGCCTGGGTTCCGAGACGAACCCAAGAGCTAGATTCACGACGAACCCCGCGCCTGGGTTCGTCTCGAAACCCAGGCGCTGGGGTCGCGAGGAACCCAAGCATTGGATTCACCAGGAACCCAACGCCTGGGTTCGTCGAGAAACCCCACGCTTGGGTTCGCGATGAATCCTGTGCCTGGGTTCGCGCAAACCCAAATGTTAAAAAAACAAAAAAAGATAAAAGATAAAAACAGCCAAATAAGGGGTGGATAATGATATATTTTATATATCTTTAAAATATAAATAATTATATAATTAAATGATTTTAAAATTATATTAATCACAATAAATTCATAGTTTTAGGAGGTGTTATGTGAGAAAGTGTTATAAGAAAGTAATCCCAAACACAGCCTAAATCCCTCAAAACGAGGACAAGTGGGAGGGGTTACAGGGGTTTAAGCCGGACAAAACCGGTAATTTCACCACAAAA